TGGTCGACAATGAAATATTGGTTTACATTTTTTGAACGCAGATAGTTTTTAATATCGTCTGATTTGAAAGAATTTTCACAGTCAGATGTCAGTTTTGTTGGATGGTATTTGTCAACGAATATTGTCAAAGCAGTTTTCACATCTAAAATATTTTTGGACCATAATGGTATGGCTTCACAGTATCTTGTGTTTTGACCGACAAATATTAGCCAGTATGGTGGTCCATCTGTTCTAACTCTCGGAATGTTTTCCAGATATCCATAAACCAAGCATTTGGTGTTGAACTAAAGATTTTTACCATGAGTGCTTTCTTTGTCGCTTTAGAAACATAGGGGTCCTTGTTTGGATTCGTCATTTTTTAACCCATAAGAAATGGGTTTATTTGGCGCATTAGCAGGAGTTGCATCCAGATTTTTGCCCGCAGTGGGAACAATAGCCAGAGGTGTATTTGGAGTTGGAAGGAAGATTTTGAGTACATTAGGTATACTTAAAGAGAAAGCACAACCTATTATACAAACTGTACAGAAAGGTTGGGATGTAGCACGAGATGCAACAAATCTTATTCCAAATCCTGAAACAAGAGGAAAAGTTCAAGGATGGATGGACAATGTAGGAAGACAAGCAGGAAACTATTATAACAAAGCAAATGACTACTATAACCAAGCAGGACACTATATGGACCAAGGTGAAAGAATTCTTTAACAGAGGATATAACCATGCACAACAATGGGTAAACAATAACCAACCTCAACCACCTCAAACTTGGGGAATGTAAAATTTTTTACTGAGATGAAATGAACAATACAGCATTGAGACAAATGGGTTCAAGATGGATTTGTCGACTTCCAGCAGTTACACCACGTGTTTGTCAAGTTCTTCCTATACCTCAGGAAGTTTTAGACCGACTTAAAAAACCTAAACAACCAGTTGAAAACAAACCAAACTAAATTTTTTTACTGAGATGAAATGACCGAAGAAGTTGAAACGGTAGATTTGACACCACAAACAAAAAGTTCAGAACCATTGTCAAAACCCGTCAAAGAACTTACAGATGAAGAGAAAAATTCAATAATAGAAAGTGCCAGGTCTGGAATACAAACCCTAACTATAAAGTCACTTTTCATAAAAATGGAACGGCTAGTATCTCAAAAAAGAAACAGACTCTCACAAATAAAATATTGAAGTCTGAAGGAGCTTTCGAGACAACAGATGGAAAAGTTTACTTCACTGACCAACAGTTCATTATAGAACATCTCATTGACTTAGAGTCGAAATATTCTAAACTATACAACAAACACAAAAAGTTGAAAGGAAAACAAAAACAAATGGCATATGATATTTATGAAGATGTTGACGACACAACTGTTCCTGCAAGTGAAGTAAAGTCAGAGGAACCGAAAAGTGACGAAAAACCGATAGAAGAAGAAAAACCAAAAACTGAAGATAAACCAAAACCAAAGTTTAGTTTCCAACCTAAACCAAGTCAACCTTCATTAGCTGGTATGGGTTGGCGTCAAAGACTTATGGCAGCAGGCGGTTATGTAAAGTAAAGAAAAAAATATTTTTTTATTTTATTTGAAATGTACGCTGAGTTTGTTGGAGAAGACCGTTGGGAAACTTGTTTGTTAGATGAGAAATATGAAATGGCATACCATTTTAAAACAATATATTTTTACATATATTAAATGCTTCAGGTTGAAAAACAAAGAACAAAAGTAGCAGATACAAAACCGTTAGACTATATCTTTACAAATGCTGGTAGGACTATTTCAGATGAAGAAATTTCATCCCGAGCATACAGGTTTGACTATCCAATTCGTTGGCTTCAAAGTCCTTCAGATGCAAAGGCAATAGGATTTAGAAGAGTTTTGTTTTCAAATAGAACTAACGCATTTATGTTCGCAGTATATTTCATGGCAGTATAAAGGTTCTGATGGTCTAATAGACAAATTTGACGAAATGAGGATCTTTACAGTTCGTTCAGGCGAAAGTCTTGAGAAAACTCTAAATGCTTTCAAACTCAAATAAACAAATATTATTGGGAATTTCAAGAAAAATACGACTCTTTACTAAATTGAACATACTATCTGAAACTAGAATATGACAAGATGAACTCCACCGTTTCATTTCAAAAGATTGAAATTAACCCTCCAAGAGATACAGAGTTTTATTTTGGAAAGTAGACAAACGTTCTTGGGCACAATTTCTTCGGTTACTAAACCAGAACGAACCATTACCACCAGATGGTCCATTTAAATTTATACTTCCACCAGCAGATTGACAGTTTATAGAAATGTGTTCGACCCTCAAAATGTTATGTGTCATGCAAGTTTCAGTTCAAGCAACAATAGTTTTCTATGTATTGGTAAGGACTTTTATGACTTTGCTTCTAAATTCTACGAACCACCTAGTAACAGTTTCTCTGACTTTCAAGTTTGGTTCACAACAAATGGTGTGCAACATATTATTCCATTGTACTATGACTTTTATCTCGAATTGTCTTTCATATATAACTACGGAAAAGTGCTGAAAAAGTATTGAAAAATACTTTTAGGGTAGCATGTTAGATCTAACACGTTTTCTAACCTCATTTCTAACATCGTGAATTTGTCATGAAAACAATTTATTTTTGACACTTTCACAAAAAACATAAAAAAGTGAAGTTAAAATGAGATGTTTACTGAACTGGTTGGATGTCGCCTTCACAGGTTATGTAGAATGGTTGACCCGAGAAGTGAAGGAGAGACTGAATTGCCAATTTCATATGGGGTAGGGGGTTCTCCTTGTTTGGTATTTTTATCCAAGGACGTTTGTTTAGGAACTTAACAAGAGCTTCTCTTTTGGCGTCCTTTATGTCGTCGAAAGGAGTGTTTTCTGGTATTTGAATTGGAATTCCGGTCGAAGTCTCGAGATTCAAGGCAGCCCTTCCAGAAATAGTGGTGAACTTGACCTTGGGCTTCATGACCTTGCGCAAGTAGTCTTTTACGCAGTCGTTAATTTAAATTAGGTAAATTGCCTCGTCAAATCCTTCTGGCATTCCGAGTCCTTCCATCCGACAGGAAAATATTTTCCCGACAACTGGAAAAAGTTTTTCCTTCCGACAGAAAAAATTTTTCCTTCCGACAAGAAAAAATTTTCCAGTTGTCCGTCCGTAAACCATTCAAATTTTCGAAAATTGAGAACTTTTTGGTCGAACTTCAGAAAAAGTTTTTCCTTCCGACAGAAAAAGTTTTTCCTTCCGACAGAAAAAGTTTTTCCTTCCGACAGAAAAAGTTTTTCCTTCCGACAGAAAAAGTTTTTCCTTCCGACAGGACACAAACAGATGACTGACGTCCCACCAACCGAGTCCATTCCCAAACCAGAGGAACCTAAAGAACCACAACAGTCTCCTCAGCAACCTCAGTTCCAGCAAGTACCTCCGAATTTCTACCAATTTCCACTTCAAGGTTACTACCCACCACAAGGCTTCCCGAACTACCCTCCTCTGCCTATGCCTTACTGCCCCAACCCTTGGATGTTCCAGCAAGCTCCACCCCAGCAATTCCAATCTCAATCCAAATCGAAGAGAGACCAAGAGTTCGAAGAAGGTCTGAACTGCTTACGCAAAGAGTATGCTACAGCTCCAATTGAGAGAAAGTTGTTCCCGGACCAAAAATATAATTTAGGTGAAGAGGTTAGATCTAACCTGTTTTCTAACCTCTTTTTTCACCTCTTGAATTTTCATGAATTTTCCCGAAATAAAAAATAAAGTTAGTTTTATTTTGTATGTAAAGATATGATTTCAGGGATTTTTTTGACGAAGTGCAAACGTTCACTTCGTCAAAAAATAACAGTTATATAATGAAAAAGTGTCATTTTTTGTATTTTTTTGTATTTGACGAGAATGTCGGGTAGAAGGTTAGATCTAACCTGTTTTCTAACCTGTTTTCTACCCTCTTGAATTTTCATGACTTCTTCGTAAATGTTTTGTCAAGACTTCTTCGTAATGAGTGTAAAGGACCCAAAAATATAATTTAGGGTAGATGGTTAGATCTCACCTGTTTTTTCACCTCTTTTTTCACCTCTTGAATTTGTCATGACTTCTTCGTAAATGTTTTGTCATGACTTCTTCGTAAATGTTTTGTCATGACTTCTTCGTAAATGTTTTGTCAAGACTTCTTCGTAATGAGTGTAAAGGACCCAAAAATATAATTTAGGGTAGAAGGTTAGATCTAACCTGTTTTCTCACCTGTTTTCTAACATGGTCTAAAACTCTCGAAAATCATGAATTTTCATGAATTTCCTTAAGATAGAAAAAATAAAGTTAGTGTCATTTTTTTTGTATTTTTTTGTATGTAAGATATGATTTCAGGGATTTTTTTGACGAAGTGCAAACGTTCACTTCGTCAAAAAATAACAGTTATCTAATGAAAAAGTGTCATTTTTTTGTATTTTTTTGTATAAAAGATATGATTTCAGGGATTTTTTTGACGAAGTGCAAACGTTCACTTCGTCAAAAAATAACAGTTATATAATGAAAAAGTGTCATTTTTTGTATTTTTTTGTATTTGACGAGAATGTCGGGTAGAAGGTTAGATCTAACCTGTTTTCTAACCTGTTTTCTACCCTCTTGAATTTTCATGACTTCTTCGTAAATGTTTTGTCAAGACTTCTTCGTAAATGTTTTGTCATGACTTCTTCGTAAATGTTTTGTCATGACTTCTTCGTAAATGTTTTGTCATGACTTCTTCGTAAATGTTTTGTCATGACTTCTTCGTAAATGTTTTGTCATGACTTCTTCGTAAATGTTTTGTCAAGACTTCTTCGTAAATGTTTTGTCAAGACTTCTTCATCGTAATGAGCGTAAAGGACCCAAAAATATAATTTAGGGTAGAAGGTTAGATCTAACCTGTTTTCTAACCTCATTTCTACCCTCTTGAATTTTCATGAATTTTCCCGAAATAAAAAATAAAGTTAGTTTTATTTTTTTATTTTTTTTTATTTTGTATAAAAGAACAGAAATGTCAGTCGAAGCAACAACAATTCAAACAACAGCACCAAACTCGTTAGTCATGAATCCAACATCTATGTTAGTAGAAATGAAAAGCTTCATTCCTTCTTCATATACTTTTGAAACAGAAATCCAGAAGATAAAGCAGGAACTTTTAACAAGTACTTTGGACTGTTGTGCGAAAGATGAACAAAATGAACAGTATCTTTACGACATGCAGGACCCGGTGGAACATTTACCCAAATTGCCTGAAATCCAACAACAAAAGCTCACTATTCCTGAATTCGATGAAATTGAAGTGAAACCAACTGACTCAGTAGAAATAAAGAAGTTCATACGAAAGGTAAACTATGAGTTTCTAGGATTTCATTGCAACCATAAGGTTATGGACAAAGATTGCGACATGGTATATAAGAATGTTTCTGACATATATAAATCTGAAGAATTTAAGACCTACGACAACTTTGTTTCGTTAGTTGCTGAATGTGTATGGCAGATAAGAGATAAAGATAAAAGATGTAAAATATGGAACAAACAAATAAAACCAGCAGCTTTTGAGTTAAAGAAAACCATTGACGCCTTAGTTGTTTTAGCAGGTAAGGTTTCAGAATATAACGCAAAAATGAACCCGCAATGTTCTAAATGTAAAGCAGCAATGAGGAGATATAACTACTCCGTCAAAGAGATAGAAAGAATGAGAAACGACTATGCAGACTTAAAGAAAGAAGCAGAGAAACCAGCAGAAAACAAAATGGACATGTTAGCATTTCTAAACAAAAACTATCCAACAGCTGACGATTTCCTTCTTTCAGATGTCAAGAAGAAATATAAAGAAACATTCGGCATTGTGAAAACATTCGATGTACTAAAAGAAGAAATCGAAGCCACAAAATTGTTTAAAGTCATGAACCATCGCAACATATACCATGTAAAACGCTTGTAAATAGTTATGTTAGAAAAGTGGTTAGAAAACGTGTTAGATCTAACATGCTAACATAAACTTTATTTTTATTGAATTCTGTATAAAATTCTGAGTAAAATGACATATGGCATGTGTCAAACCGTTGAGTTTTCACAAAATTTAAAAAATAACGTTTACCATGTAAAACACTTATAAAATAACTGGGGTGAAAAAAGAGGTGAGAAAACGGGTGAGATCTAACCATCTACCCTAAAATATATTTTTGCTGAAAAAAATGACCAAATTTCATGAATTTCCTCATATGCTTGCTACCCTCGAAAAACCGAGGGTAGAGATTCCGTACGAAAATCGCAAGAATTTGCCAATAAATTTAAGAGGTTGGTATGTACATAGACTATTAGTAAATGCAGTTGCAGTGAAGGCTTACTTTACATCGTTCAGAAACCAAACATACAGACATTGGTTCAAAAACCAAAGCACACAAGAACTTTTGAGTGAAATTTCTCTAGACCGACTTTTTTCGGTCTAGCATAAAACTCTATGAAAATCGTGAAAAACAGCGAGACAGACTTTTTTCTGAAAACAGTGAAGAACAGCGAGTAGGTAAAAAAACCCGGTCGCCAAAACTCTATGAAAATCGTGAAGCACAGCGACCCAGACTTTTTTCGGGGTCGCCTAAAACTCATGAAAATCGTGAAAATTTGCCATGCTGCTCTTCTGAGTTCGTCGGTATTTTGGAAGTGTTGCACCTTCGAGTCTTCTGACATGAAAAAAATGACCAAATTTCATTATATAACTGTTATTTTTTACGAAGTGAACTTTGACACTTCGTAAAAAAAATCCCTGAAATCATATCTTTTATACAAAATAAAAAAAATAACGTTAGTTTTTTTCTATCTTAAGGAAATTCATGAAAATTCAAGAGGGTGAAAAAACAGGTGAGAAAACGGGTGAGATCTAACCATCTACCCTAAAATATATTTTTGCTGAAAAAAATGACCAAATTTCATTATATAACTGTTATTTTTTACGAAGTGAACTTTGACACTTCGTAAAAAAAATCCCTGAAATCATATCTTTTATACAAAATAAAAAAAATAACGTTAGTTTTTTTAAAAAAATATTTTTTATCTTGTATGTAAAGACAGAAAATGACAAAGGTTGAGTTTGAAACAGTTAGAAAGATAGACAATGACACCAAAATGGTTAGAATATGTGATTTAAACGTAAGATACTCAAAGAAATACAACAAATATTCTTTGTCAGACATTTTATCTCCATTTGGAAAGAAACCGAAGGACTGGGTTAGAATTGCTTCTACTCAGAAATTTTTGACAAGAAATCCTGAGCTTATGATATCAGTAGCATTTCATGGAACTACAGCATATCTTATAGACAAAAGTCTTATACCAATAGTTTTGTTATGGTTAGACCCAGTTGTTGGATATAACTTCATAACATATGGTTCATTCGATACGGAACGTTGCAGTGAAGGCTTACTTTACATCGTTCAGAAACCGAAGGACTTCAATACAAAAAGATATAAGATAGGAAGAACATATAATATAACTCAAAGATATGACAGTACAGTCAATAGAGTCAAGGTTGTGTTTGCTAATGATATGAGAGCTGCAGAAACAGAACTACTTGAAAAGTTTGAGAAAATGTATGGTGCTCCCATAAAAGGTAAAGAAACGTTTGAAGTAGATGAGATAGATAAAGCTATAAAATTATTTGACGAAGTTGCTGAAAAATACATGTAAAGCGTTTATTTTTGGTCTTTTGTGAAAGTCAGGAAATAACGCTAATTTTTTATAAAATATTTTTTTTATTTTGTATGTAAAGACAGATATGTCAACAACCGAGAACACAACAACAGTTATAGTCCATGAAGCTATAAATGAAGAATATGAGTACATACAGTTTAACAAACAACTCCGTCTCATTCGTTCGGTCAAAGACGATATGTACCAAATGCAAAGTATTTTGAATGCTCTTCGTTCTACAAAGCAAGCATATCATTGGTTTGAAAACCAACAGACAAAAGAACTTTTAGAAGAATTTCCTCATATGTTTGCGACCCTCGAAAAACCGAGGGTCGAGATTCCGTACGAAAATCGTAAAAATTTGTCAAATGGTTTGAGAGGCTGGTATGTACATAGACTTCTTGTAAATGCTGTTGCAATGTGGGCTTCACCTCGTTATGCTTGTTATATTTTCATGATGTTAGATGAAATTCATAGACAAGAACGTGAAGAGATAGAAAACAAGCTTGAAGCAAAAGATGAAGTCATTGAAGCAAAAGACAAAAGCCTTCAGAAAAGAATACCACGTTCGGTACCAAAAGGAAAGGAAAAGAACTATAAGTATATGATTTATACTGAAGAGATGGAAAATGAAGAAGACAGAGATATGGTTATGTTGCATTTAGTCAGAAGAAACAACAAAAGCTTTTACGACCTTGCTAAGATTTACAAATCTGACAGAAATTGGTTCTATCGCGAAAACTTACCGATTTCAATGACACCGAATGAAGATGTGAAACAAATAGTTCAAGATACGTTACCTCAAACACACTATGATATTAAAGGTTGTACAATTCTTACCTTCAAAGAAGATTTGCCATTGTTAAAGGAAAAAATAACAGAGTATTTTGACAACTTCAAACAAGCAGAGTAAATGAACTCTTTATTTTTACGCTTGACTTTTTACAATTTGAACTTTGTTTGCGTAGATATGAATTCTGAAAGAAGTATGAGGGTCTTGTATGACTTTGTACTTCTCCCATAGTTCATGTCTGTCAAACTTACCTGCCATGGACTCTTTCATAAGTTCCATGAAATCGTCTTCGGACAATCCGGGGAAAAGTACAATGTCAGTAAGTATTCTCTTTACATCCTTACTTAAACTCTTTGCTGTCTGTACACAAATGACAACTGAAATGTTAAAGTGTCTGAGCTTCTTAAGAATTCGACACATGTCTTGTTCTCTATTCTTTAACAAAGGATGAGAAGCAAAGTCATCTAAGATAAGAAGACATCTATGAGGGTACGTTTTCCAATCGTAAGATTGCAATTTCTTCGAAATGTATTCTATCTCTTTCTGTTTGTTTCTGAAGTGTTTCTTCTCTAATATTCTCTGCATTTCCTCATTTGGGTCTTTAAACTTAGAATTTATATACTCATTTATAGCATTATACTTCAAAACTCTTCTTTGGTACTTCTTTATCCAATCTAACAACTCAGAGTCTTTTATACATACTAACTTAGACTTCTTTATAATCTCTTTGAACGAATTGACGGTTTGGTCAAATTGACCAGAAGTACTACAAATGACTACTAACTCATAGAATGGGTTCTTCTCATCTAGTTCTTGTTGTTGTGCAGCCATTTTAAGATAAGTGAAAGTCTTACCCGACCCAGGTGGTGCAATTAGACCTGTTATACCATTCTGAGCAAATAAGAACTTGTCATGTATGGGTTTTATCTGAGCATTTTCCAACTTCCTCTTGTTCTTATTTAAAACATTCTCAAATTTTTTGTCAATGTCAGCAAACTTTTTTTCTAACATATTTTTAGAAAAATTAAAATTTTTATCTTTTAGAAAATGTCTAGCGATTTCGCTATCTATATTCGAGACAAACTTTTTGACAGCAAAACATCTGTAGACCATAAAATCTTACATAGTGTAAACAAGAAAGGTGAATTTGTTCTAAAGTTCTGTTTCTGGGAATATGACAAGAACCATAAAACATTAAGCAGAGCAGTCTTAAAATTTGTCAATGACAGACTTGTTGACAGAGATGACGCCTCTTGGAGAGATGAAGTCCAACAAAACTTCTTAGAATGCAAAGAAGACACATGCACTGTTCTTGAAGATGAAATAGAAAACAGAATAGAAGAGCTATTAAAGGACAAAGAACTTTTACAAAAATATGGTTCTGAGAAGTTTGACATAACTCCACCAGAAAAGAAGAAGAAAGAAAAGAAAGAAAAGAAAGTAGAAGAAGAGAAGAAAGAACCCGAGCCAGAGAAGAAGAAATTTGACATGTAAAAATAAAATTTTATTTTTAGAACATTTCTGGGTCAATGTCAATGTTCTCTTCCTCTTTAGGAGCAAACACTGGCTTAGACTCTAAAATCTTTTTACCCAATTTACCTTGAACTTCAACTATCTTAGACTCATAATATTCATAGTCGTCTGCTTTCTTTGGTTCATAAGGTATAACAAGTTTGTATGCTTTGCCTTCTTTAAGGTTTGAAAACCTTCTGTCAAAACTTTCTTTGACTGTTAACAAACCTTCTATGTCTAAGTCTTCAAATTTCGCACCATTTTTAGTCACAATAGCAAACTTAACTGGTTCGATGTTCCAAACTTTGCTGAATGAAGACTTTTCAAAATGGTAGAAGTAAACATTCAAATATGTGAATGGGTCTAGTTCTTCTTTAAGTCCTGACATGTACTTGTTTACTGAGATGAATTTTGTCATCTTTTCTATCGGATAAAAAAAATATTTTTTTTTAAATTTACTCAGAAAAATTTTTCTTTGTATATACACCATTCTGTACGTCTAAAAGACTTTTGACATTTGCCAAGAATGTTCGTTTAGACGCTGTCATATAACCATATTCTTGACAATATTGTTTATACGAATCGTACAATGACCTTTCATCTAAACACTCAAAGTCAGTTTCATCTATGAACAGTTCATATACACTCTTGTTTGCTTCTAACAATGTTTGTCTCTCTTCGGTATGTGGAATTTGTCTTGGATTGAACTTTGAAATATCTAATGTCATAAAATATGAGAACAAGTGGTTGTAAAAGTCAGATGTCAAAGTTTCTGACAAAGCGTCAAAATATTCTGTATCTTGCATATGAGAATCTGACGTTCTGACAACTACATATCTTCTGTCAGAACTTTCTAACTTCATCGGAACAGCATTGTTTGAAACCATAATGAAGTTTGCAACATTTTCACAAACTCTTTGGTCTTTATACTTTCTTTCAACAACTCCAACTTTGTCTGTTATAAGACTCTTCAAAGCATCTGAGTTCAAAACTTTTGTTGTATCTATACTTTGAAGTTCGTTACATACTATAAGTTTCATATTCTCTATTGAAGAGTTAAATTTACCGCAGATGTTTTCTAAGTTTGTCATATTAGGGTTCGAATAGCCCTCTAACAGTTTGCATAAGATATCTGTAAAGAATGTGTTCTTACCTGTTCCTTGTTTTCCAATTATAATGAGAGCAGTTTCATTCTTAGCACTTGGATGTTGTAAGATGTTTGCAAACCAACATAAGATATACTCATAAACCTTTTCGTTTCCATTGCATATAATTTCTTTGACATGGTCTAACCAAGCTTCTATAATATTTTCTTTCCATTCTACTTGTTCATATTTATATCCAGTGAAGATAGAATAGAAGTTTGGAGATGGTGTATAAAACTTTATACCACGAACTGAAAAATCTTCAAGTTTTGACAATAAGATATCCCAAGCATCTAACATCTTCATGCCAACTTGTACGACTTTTATTTTCTTAAGTTTCTGTCTACATTCTTGTTCTGAAACTATTGTCGCTTTAGGTTTGTTAAAGACTACATCCCATTCTTTCATAACATAACATTCTGGGGCAGAGTCGACATAAATGACTAAACGTTTCAAATTCTCGACTGCTTTGTTATAGTCTCGAAATGGACACATATTTCTGAATGTTTGGAAGTCATAAAAATCTGAAACATCTATTCTGTACATTTTTATAAAAATAAAAAAAATATTTTTTTTATTCTTGACTTTGTTGTTGCATTTGTTGCATTTGTTGTTCTTGAGCTATTTGTTGTTGAAGTTGTTCTTGTAATACAATACTTTCACCAGTTGCATCTTCCAATTCGAAACTTTCTGCCGTCATTGACAAATACATAGGACATAAAAGTTTTACAGGAACAAAGTTTGCGTCAACTAAGGTTAAGTTTATGTTTGCTAAAGTGTTTGAGTTTACTAAAGCTGAAAACTCTGCATTCGAATGAACAATAGGCAAACCAGCAGAGAATGTGTTATTTATACGCATAAGTATCTTTTGGTCATAGTAGTTTCTGTCGACATTCGAATAACACTTTGAACCTAAGTTTGAAACAATATATAAAATAGGTGTACTTAAAGTCAATGGAACAGACATTCCTTGTATGACACCTTTTCCTGTTATAGGAAACTGTTGGTAGTAAAAACCAGATATAAGTTTTGTATTATAGCTCATATTGTTTATAGTAAACTCAGTCGGACATCCAAACATAATGAAACCTGCTCTAGTTGCAGCACATGTTACACCCGTACTTAAAGTATTAAATAAGTCAACAAAACCTGTTGGTGGTATATCTGAGTAAGTATCTTCAAAGGAGTATTTTTTACCATTCACAACAATAAAATCTTCTGGTGTCAAAAGAGCAAAACAAGCTTTAGTCGTCATTGTGTTTAAGGTTAGTTTACAATATCGTCCTTGAGGACTTTGTAAGTTTGTTGTTATAGAATTATATGACTCAGGGTTTTTAGTCGTAATAGTATAAACCATTGTGTCTTCTGCCATTTACTTAGCAAATAAATTTTAATGAAATGTTGTGGTCGTCAAATATTTTTATAACGTCTGGGAAACTATATTTTAAGTTCAACGTTTCACCTCCTTTCATAACGTATATCTTGTCAATGACATTATATGAAACACCACAGCAACTAACGTCGGGTTCTATTTCTTTGATGTTTATATCGTCTGCCTCTGTCAAAAGTTTCAATAGTTCTTTCAAAACTTCATGAGGTGCAATGACATATGAGTTCACTTTTACAGGGTTGTGTTCGACCAAGTTTAACATTATACCTAAAGCTTGACAAATCTTCTCCTGAGTTTGAAGTTTGTCTTTCAGTTGTTGGTAGTCGTTTCGAATATCTGCAACAGAACTTAAGTCTCTGCTAACTTCAGGGTATGTTGGTTGTTCTTTTACAGGAACAATTGTTATACCATCTTCGTCTTCGTATGGTTTCCCCACTTCAACATCTCTTTCTTTGACATTGACAATAACACTTTGACTGTTTGTTTGAGTTGGTGAATTTAACTTCACATCTGCCACTGCCATTAAACCTTTTGAAACACTTACGCTTCTATTTTTCGGAAATGACATTTTACTTAGAATAAAAAGATGGACGTATTTGAGTATCTCTTCGAATTGAAGCAAAACAAAGTTTACACACACAAAACAATACAAATACATTGACAGAATAGTTCTTTATACAAACAATGGAAAATGTTATAGAATAGCAGTCTTTGCTGAACCAAAATATTTTCATAAAGCAAAGAAAGTTGGTATAACTGAAATGGTGAAAGTTCTTGAAGCAGACAAAAATATAACTTCAAAACTTACAGATATTTCTAAAGGTAAGTTTATAATACAATATTATGTCAAAAACTGGCGTACTGTCAATATTTGACGGAGAGAAGTCAGTTCAAGAACAACTTACTGACCTGCTGCCAAAATCTGCTCGATGGAAGCTGTCGTTATGCCAATCTGAGGAGCCCCAGCAGGTTTCATCGAACGAATCTTCAAAGAGCATCTTCCGTGAAAAGTGCTATTGGTTTTGTAAACTTCTTTGCTTTCAATTCATCTGGACCGTCTCTGTCACCAGTATATTGTATTTGTACAGTACCAACAGTTGAAATACCACCCATAAAGTCTTCTGAGTCAGCAAATGGAATGCCAAGCCAAAAGTTTGAACGGTCTCCATTTGTATATTGAGTTTTTGACCTCCTGTATGAGTCCATACTTTCACATATGGCATAATAGAACTTTGCATTTCAGGGTTAATGGTTGTTGTGAAGTTGTTGTTAAAGTTCATAGCATCTAATGTCAAGTTGTATGACCTCATATCCTCAACTGTAGAATATTCTTCTCTTGGATAAT